TGAGACATGTGGTTAAGATTAATTAGCCCTGTTTAACGTTATAGAAGTTATACCAGGTTCTCTACAATCTGTTTTTTAATCTTACTCACTCACTCACATTGCTTTATATTATAAAGAATCTGCATTTATCAACACTTGGGCAGCTGGAGATGCATTGGAAGTAAGAATAACCCCTCAAACTGGATCCCATCCTGATTTCTCTACAGCATGGCTGCATCATATAAGTATCACTGGAGCAGCAGTAAAAAAAAACAAGGTAAAAGAAAATAATTGTGTTGTTTAAAACAATTGCCTTAGGGAAGGAAAAATATCATTACTTTGTATTATCCCACATTGGGATTAAGGAAGCCCTGAGGGATATGCGCTTTCACTAACGACTGCTAGTAGTTACACATGGATACACAGCTGTCATTATTAAGCCACAAGGAGCAAGAGGTCCGTTCCTTCTGTTTTGAGAAAAAAATGTTGTCTTATGTGCAAAGTACAAATGCAGTAGAAAATTAATCATGCGGGAAAAATATGAAATATTTACTATTCAGTAATGTTCAGAAAAGCCGTCAGAGTCCTTGACTGATTGATCAAAAGAAACATATAACATTTATATTATTTATATTCAGTGCAAATATGTCTACAGCTTACGAGTAAGAATAACATATTTGCTCACTTTTGTTTATACTGTAATTCTGTCATATTTATTGTTTCAGTTGTACTCTCTTAAAGAATACCACTGAGCAAGGTAGGTTTATATGAATAATTGTTTACAGTAAATCACTGAAATGTCTTCAATTTTTGGTTCTAACCTCAATTAGATATATAAGACCAAACTATAATTAGATGTCCAAGCAAATCTAGTTCACCATGTTAGAAAGTATTTGCTCCCTTAATTTATGTAAGTGGTTGTGTCACACTTGGCAGTAACAACTGTTATCAAGCGTCTATGACTGTTGGTATTTTATTTCGCCATGATGGAAAGTTTTCTTCACAAAACTGTTTTATTTCAGCCAACCTGTTGAAAATAATGAGTTGTGTTTTTACATTAATGTTCTGTTCATGGTCATAACCAAGCATCTTATTTAGATTTAAGTCTAGGCTGACTAGACCATTACTGAATTTTTCAGAGAGGGACTTGCTGGTATACTTTGGATCGCTGTCCTCCATTATGATCCACATCCAGTTGGGCCTTAAATGAAAAACCAATATTCAGAAAATCTTCAGATTTTGTTTCCTTCCACTAGAATTTTCTAATCCAGAGCAGAACAATCAATTAAGGTAGGTAGTCAAGGTCTTCAGAAGAAAAGCTTCGCCTAAGCTGCATAACTTGCTAAGAGTTCCACTTTTGTGAAATGAGTCAATTAAATCTTTTGACTTTGGAATTTACCCATCAGTGAACTAAAATGAAGCAAGTCAAGACTACAGCTCTTCAGTTGTTCTAGGTGTTTTTGTGACCTCCTGGTTGAGTCAATAATTTGATTCTGGAGTGATCTTGAAATGCAACTGTTGCATGTTATATCCATTTTTGGATACTGGCCCTCATTGGAATTAAAAAGGTGTAAAAGTGACTACCAAACCCATTCCAGACTAATACTTTAACAGCTATCTAAATTTCATACTTTATGAGACCTCTTCTTCATGGTTTAGCTTTTCATTAAGCCAATTCTTCATTAAAGATTTGGCAATTGCTGATTTTTTGAAAAAGGTCCATGTTGTTTTACCATGTGAGGGAAAACATTTTTTTTTACTTTATGGATCTGATCAGCTTATTTTTATCTGACAAAATTTAAAACATTTAAATTAGGCTAAAAAAAAATCAACCCAAAGCAATTAGAAGTCTTTAAGGAGGCAAATACCTTAAAGACAAAGTCCTACATGCTGACCTTCATCCTTTTAGGGAGACACATATGAGTCCATCCTGCAAATAAATAGAATCGTTTACATTTTCCTGCATTTATTCAACCGTACAGGAAAAGGTTAATGCAGGCAGGATAATGTCAGAGCCCCTTAGGCTTTGATCTGTGAGTAAAATATTTCAATATTTAACCTTTAGCTTGGAGACTTAATTAGGTTTCTGTTTGCAGTAAAGGGAATAAAGGAGGAAGCAAAACTGCTGGTGATTTGTAACCTCTGAGCACAAAACCTTGGTTGATGCACACAAAGAACAAAAACAATTCAACATTTTCACAGCAGGCCAAAAAAAAACCACTTAGGAGACCAAAGAAAAAAGAGACATTGATTGAATATCACAACTACTTAAAAGAAATTAGGCTCTTTTATTGGTGTCCTTAACTTCAAATGCTGCTGCTACCTTCTAAACAAAAGGTGTTTAAAGGCTACACATCTCTGCACTGAGATAAATAGGAAGTGAATCAGGGCTGCTTCTCAGTCATTGTTTCTGCTTTCTTGTCGACAAAATGAATGAGAACACCAATAGTGTCTTTAAACTTTACCCAAGAAGAGTTTTGGAAATAGAGCTCCATGAAATGGACTTCCCATCTCCTGAGGAAAAAAGCAATTTCATGCTCCACCACGACTCAGGGGAAGTTCTGCAATGAAGGTCGCTTCAAGGTTAACAGCGTAAACTTAAGGAATTTTGTCAGAGTTCAACAGAGCAATTACAGCTGTAAAAATCTTAAGGGTGTTATATAAAAATGGTCTTTAATGAGCCAAGACTGAAGCACTGCAGAGGGAATCTTCCAGGAAATAAGGGGTATATGTTCAGGACGAACAACCTTTTGCCAGCTGAGTTGAGCTAAGCTGCTCTTCTTGATGTTGATACTAATGACTAAGAGGGTGTGAGCCTGTTTCTAGCCTTCTAACTCAACTAACAGGGAATATGTTATATCCAATTAGCATCGAAGGTGCATATTTGTTGCAGGTTAGAATGAGGTTCCTCTGCAAACAAGCAGCACAAATCCCTGTCCCCAACCTTCAGACTGTTTGCAGTTATGATTTGGTTTCCAATACTTTTGGCTTTGGAATGGTTAATCATCTAATATACCTGCTTCATGTCACAAGTTAGAGAGAAAAGTATTAAAATAAATATTTGGATATGATCCTGTTTGATTGATAACTCATTTCATTAAAATGTTATTTTGCTGGTTAGAAACAAACAAAAGAAAACAAACTTCCAACAGAATTTGTTAAGGTTTTAATACCTCTGAACTTTTCTGTTAGGGGTCTATTAGTAATGGGGTCTAGCTTTGACATTTAGTCTCTGTATAAATAAAGGTACTTGCTGAAGGCATCAGCTGTTCCTTAGAGAGGATTAGTGAGCAAACAGCATCCTGAAGAGCAAAGAACACAACAGACAAGTTGGATTGTGGAGGAAACTACAGCTTAGGTGAAATAATTTGTTGACAAGACAGCTTTTAGTTGTGCACTCTCCTTTATGAAAGGGCAGAAATAAGAAATAAGATAGACAGCTATGTAAAATCCTGTTGGTTTATCTGCAGATCACCCCTTAACAAACAATCCCAACAGTGAAACATGGTGGGTGAGGCATTATACTGTGGTGATGCTTTGCATTAACAGGGAGAAGGAAGCTGTGGGATTGGTTTGAAAAATGATGAATGATGATAAATGATGAAGCCTTCACTGCAGCCTTAAATAAACATATGCTACCATACAATGGTTAAAATCCAAACATACCCTTCCTTGTTACAATGAGAGATTTTGTGCTAAATCCAAATAGTAGTTAGTAAGAAACTTAAAATTTATCTTCACAAACATGTTCTTCCTGTTTAACTATTCTTTAGCCATTTCACGAAGAGGAATGTGAGAACATGTCATTATCTAAATATGCAAAAGCAGATGGAACATATACTGGTGAAGGTTCACAGTCATCCAGGACAGTGTCAGAAAAAAAAAAAAAAAAAAAAATAGAAACAATCCACTGTACTTGTTTTCCAAGTTTGAATTGGAAGCCAAATTTGGAAACCAAGTCTAGTGGATTGTTTTTATTCATTTTTTTCATTGTTTTAATAACAGATGGAAAATAATTAATAATAAAAGTCCTGAAGCAGCATTTGTAGCAGCAGAGGATTCTAAAAAAAACTACTGATTCAATGAAATGTGAAATGGATAAAGATGCATTTTATTTGAAACTTACCTATTACTTTCTCAAAACACTGCAATCATGCACCTAACCTGTACACACATAGCTACATAAAATATACTTGAGAAAACACCCAAATGTTGGGTTATGGTCTAACACAATGTGAAAATGTTTAAGAGCATGGATGCATTTAAATAGCATCAAAAATGTGTGTTTCATAGAATGTGCTGACATGTTGTTATCTTGAAAGATATAAAATTATGTATAAACAATCAGATTGGTTTTCAATGCCTGAATAGCAATTTGACTGAAACGACTTTAAACAAATTGTTTTAATTACATCTCAAAGCCAAAGACTTTTCTGTAGAAGGACACAAGGCCCTTTTTATGCTGGTGTTCTTCCTTCTAGGAAATGCAAGTTATCTCACAAAGCACACACCAGAATATCCAATATATTTTTTCCCCACGAGCCTGGGGGATTAGTGTTTAAAATAATCCAGATGCCCCATATTTTCCAAACAAATCACTGAGTGATGTAACAAATGGATTCCTGCCACTGTGAAGTCTGTGCAGGTTCAGGACCATGGACAGCTCCAAAGGGCACTCAAAATATGGGCGCTCAAAAAATTAACAATTTTATATATATATATATATATATATATATATATATATATATATATATATATATATATATCCTTCTTGAATGTATATTTTAGTGGAGAATTTAACATGGATAAACTACAAATAAAAGCAAAAGGATCCGTTTGTCATATGTATTACTAAGCAGTAATAATGTAAAGAGATTATTTTACTCAGAAAGGAACATGAAAAACATCCTTTTAACTCCAAAAACATGTTTAAGTTTCAAATAGACGATTGTCTAAAACTGAACATCTGGGGTTCATTACAATCTGTCAGCATAATGCAAACAAACAAATAAGTGTCTTACATCTTCATCTTCCCGTAAGCACTTTTTCTTGTACTGGACGTGAGCTCGACCCTCGGCTCCTTGGTGAGAGGACTTGGTCCCGTTCTCCTCGTCTGCGACCTGTCCTCCCAGAAGGTGGCTGGCCTCAGGTGGGTGCGGAAACGAATTGTTCGTATTGATCTTCCCGGTGAATCTCTGATACAGCGAAGCCATTGTGAAACGTTTCGGGATTGTTTTACTCCGGATTAAAAACACTTTACTGCATGGCAGGACAACAAAAGTGTCTAAGGTGATTCGTTTTGTGTTAGTTTTTCGAGTGCTTGGGAGATTAAAAAAGAAAAGCGGCAAAGGGGAAGGCAGTTTTACCCCTGGGATGGGGATGTTTGCCTAAAAATTAAGCTTCTAGATAGTATTGGTGAAGGACTAAGGAAAGTGGGGAACCGATAATAAGCGGGATCCTTTGTTAAAGTCCGCTTTGCTTTGTCCAGCCACACGGCGGAGGGTCTGTTAAAGGTGTCAATAGTTGTCCTCCTTTGTATTCAGAACACGTTGTCTCCTGTCTTCAGTTTCCTGATGCCTCCTCACAGCCAGATAGGAGGCGGAAGCGCTGAGTTTCCATCAGATATTCGATCCTCAGCAGATTCGGAGGTGCTCATCACAAAAACAAAGCAGTCCAATATAATCATTCGCGTCCTTTGGCTCTAATTTTCCATCTTTGTTCATAAGAGGGAGGGGAAAAAAGTGTGAAGGACGCAGAGAGAGCCCGACGGTATTCTTCGCTGACGCGCTCTGCATGTGAAGTGACCTGATCGCAGAGAGGAGCAGCTCTTGCTGTCTGGGTTTGCGCGCCGCCGATCGCGCAATCACTCATGAATACCTAGGTTTCCTGAATGCTCCTTTATTTTGATGCTCTGCACAACAAATATCTTTCCTTAGTTTTTTTACATTTAGGGTAATTTGATTTACCCCCACTGTACAAAAGATTCCATCTGATCCCGCAGGACGGAGCTCGAGTGCCTCTCAGTGGCGTTATGGATACGAACAGGGTCACCGGACACCTGTAATGGGCTTTGATTTAATAATAGAAACGAATAAATTATAATTGTATGCCTATCTCACACACATATTGTGTCACGCCATTCTTGTGGGGAAAATCAGTTGTCTTCCATCAATTTCCCTCTCATTTCTATGACCCAACCCTTCCCCTAAGGCTAACCATTACCAGCACATGTCTAAACCTAACCTAAACTAAATCAATACCTTAGTCCTAAACATAAACCCCAGCTCAAAGAAGAAAACCTTACTATATTGGGACCAGCTTGTTACCCATAAGGAGATGGGTCCCCATGCAGTGGTGTCAAAAGTACCCACATTTATTACTTAAAGGGGAACACTGTTTTTTTTTTTTACACTGGCCCCTTGATTTTCATGTTATTACATCATGTTCTACTGACCCATATTAGTTTTGTGTAATTTGGAGCTTTTATGAAGATGTTCGATTTTGTAATATCCAAGTAACGTCTTCCTAGTCTTCCTATGGGCAATGAGTTGAAGGCACAAACTACACTCTTCATAGTTTATTCTTTATGGTACGCCAGCATTCATAACATGTAGGCAAATCACTGTCCCCCAGACATCCACGTCATCCGCGCGCGCCGGCTACCATTCATTGATCCTGTCTGCTGAACTGCTGCTAGGTTTACTCGCATGCCTGGAAGTGGTCTAATGCTACTACCACAGATAGCCGCCTGTGGCCCGGGCTGCCTGTCACAACTCCAGTAAGGCGCGAGGGTGACGTCATAACACACTCTGCTTTGTTTTAAAAATATATAAATATAAAAAATATACCCGCGGATGTCTGGGGGACAGTGATTCGCCTACATGTTATGAATGCTGGCATACCATAAAGAACAAATTATGAACAGTTTAGTCCCCACACATGATGAAAACAAGTCCACACACTCATATATACCGTACATACAAATACACACCAACATATATATTCATACGTATATCCTTGGAGGATTTTAACTAAAGAAGGAAGTTTTAGCGCCATTAATGATGTTGCGTGAGATTCAGCAGAGGTGTACTTTGGCATATATGCTCACAGAAAAAACGTGAATCTGACCAAAGAAATAATAATAGATTAAACTAAATCTATGAAAATTACCCAATGAAAGTCAGACATTTATTTTCAAACATGCTTCAGCCAGTGGCACGGGAAGGGGGGTGCTGCGGGGGCTGCAGCCTCCCTCGTCATAGCATCAGCCCCCCATGGTGGGGGGCTGTGGAGTAACATAATATTGTACTTAAAAACATGAAATTATTTATGTATTTATTTTTTAAAAGACTGTGTTTGATATGGGATTAAAATGATGGGCTGTGTATAAGATATAAACTAATGATTCATTATTTTAATATTTCATAAAAAACTAGGCTACTCCCCCGGAAGTGCTTCCGCCACCTCACATTCGTTTAGGCATGGCTAGCAATAGGCAGCAGAAACGTATTTCTGACTATTTCGAGGTGAGAAATGGTTTTAATTCCCCTATACGCTAGAATAAGGCTGCATATCACTAAATATTATGTAAGTATTAAGCTATTTAGTGATAAAATATGAAATTAGTTAATTTTTTATTGTATGTGTTTTTTGTTTCAGATATGAAATCATTCCCCATATCCATAGTCGAATGGATTTTCAAGACGTTCAATGTTCAGTTTAGGCTATATTTAGGCCATGTTTCATTCAAGTATTCCTGATCCTGTTGATTGGGAGCTGTTATTTGTTTTGAATGATTAAAAGAGAAGAAATAAAGTTTAAAATGTTCATGCTTTGTTCCGATGCATTTTAAATGGCAGTTTTTGGCGACAAATGTAGGCCTACAATATTATGTTAAAAACGTCAGCCACAGCCCTCAACATAATGACGTCACGTGTTTTCAAACCCAGCCATCAGCCCCCCTCGCTTGAAACAGCTTCCAGCGCGCCTGGCTTCAGCAGAATTATTCAGAAAATAAACTCACAAAACAAGTCTTGGTTAAAATGCTGGTAACCCTAGAAATGACAGAATAAAATTGACCAAAGGGACATTTATAATCAAGGTGTGTCTACTTATTAAAATTGCAGGTGTCTGTAATTAGTCAGTGGGGTGATATATAAGGCTACAGGTCACTGTGCTGTTTAGTGATACATTGTGAGTACCACACTCAACATGAACCAGAGGAAGCAAAAGAAAGAGTTGTCTCAGGAGATTAGAAAAACATTATAGAAAAGCATGTTAAATGTAAATGCTATAAGACCATCTCCAAGTAGTTCCTGAGATGTTCCTGAGACTACAGTTGCACATATTCAGAAATTTAATGTAGCCATCCTCTCCAGTCGTGGCCGGAGTAGGAAAATGAATGATATATCAAAGAGACGGATAATAGGAATGGTTACACAAGAGCGTGAAAAACATCTAAAGAGATTAAAGGTGAACTTTAGTCTGCAAGAACACCAGTGTCAGATTGTACCATCTCTCATTGTTTGAGCCAAAGTGGAGTTAATGGGAGCTGACAAACTAAACATTGACAAAACACAAAGATTCTGGGCTAATGTCGTATGGAGAGATAAGACAAAAATTAAAAATAATTAAGCTAACACATCAGCTTTGTCTTCACTGATGGAAAAATGAAAGATATTAATAAAAGAAAACTTTTTTTATTGTGAAACAAGGAGGCGGCACTGTTATGTTCTGGGGATGCTTTGCTTCATCAGCACTGGGTATTTAATTCATGCAAGATACAATAAAACCTCAAAATTAGGTTAACACCACCATAGCAAACGTTTGCATTCAATATGGCTGCTACTAGCATCAACAGTAGTAAAAACATCATACTTACATACTGAATGTTTTTAATAGATTTTTAATGCAAAATCTAGTCAGTAATACACATACTCCTTTTCCCTGTTAGCAAAAAAAAAGTTTCAGCTATGTTTATATGCAGAAAACCCAGAGTAGAAAAGTATTTTTGCCATTGTAAATCTAATGATCTAACCGTGCTTCAGTTCTGAGGTTAATGGAGCGCAACATATGTTCAGCGCATTTCATCTGATTCCCCAAACTTAATTTCCTTAAATGAGAACAAGTTGTAAAAAATAAAACAGCACCAAGAAGATCAGGAAACACATCAATGAGGTCAGGGATAAAGCTATTTAGAAGTTTTAAACAGGATAAGGTTCTTGAAAAATATCCCAAGCTTTAACAATATTCCTCTGAACATCTCTCTGAAACTTAGTGGGTCATCGTGTATAAAGTAAGGACACAAATCCAAATCTAAAAATACAGCTCCGGAACCTAAACTACTGTAACAGGTTGGAGAGGAAGGGCATTAATCAAAGACTTATTGAAACTCTGAAAGAGTTTCAGAGATCTACAGTTCAGGCCGGAGAATCTCTATACAGGAAAGAAATTGAAATTATGGTGTTGATTGAAAATGTGGCATGAAGGAAGCCATTGTTACGAGAAAGCAAAACAGGCCCTATTTAATGATTGTAAAAAGTGTGTAGGGGACATTTGGAAGAAAATGTTCTGGTTAGATAAGACTACCGTAAAATTGCACCTTATGTGTGGTAAAAAAGGATCATGGAGCAACTGCAAACTGTGAAAGAAATCTAGTGAAAGCTGATGGGACAGTGGGTGGATGTAAGTAAAGGGCAACTCCTGGAAGCAAAGCTGTTACTGCAAAAAAAGTAGAGATAAGGTTCATCCTGCAGAAGGACAACAATCCTAAACGAGGAGCTACAGTGAAAGAATTTAAAGAAAAAAAATCCCTTTGATTGAAAGACCCAGTCAAAGCATAGACCCCAGTCTATAGGAGACTGTAACAAGGCTTAAAAAACAAGGTTCATAGATAATCTGCATCTGACCTGAATGAGCCTTGGCTGATTTGCAACGAAAACAATTCACTAATTTCAGGACCTGGATATAAAAAGCTGTATGAAATACTTTTGCAAAAGTCTTTGGAAAAGGTACTTCTACAAAAAATCAACTCAGGGAGGTAGAATGTAAATGCATGCCACACTTTTCAGATTTTTTTATTTGTTAAATATTTTGTAAAGCAAAGCTTATTGAGATGTTGTGATTGAAGCAAATGTGTTTTTTACAGAACTGAGTCAGGGTGAACACTTTGCTGGTGGGTTTAAAAAAATTTACTCATGTCAGAAAGTATCGCACAATTCCAACATATTGAAGTTTGCAGTTGTAACATGAGTATTTTATAATGGTTCAAAAAGTAGGAGTGCTTCTGCAAGAATCAGTAAACAAAATGAATCCTAGAAAAATAAAGATGAAACCAAACATTTCCCCTGAATAACCAGAGGTGTTTTCATTGCCTTCTGTGCATATCAGCTAATGTAACTTTAAAGTGGCCTTAAATATTTGTTGACACTTTTTAAGTGCCGTACAAATCTTTTACATCTAGTATAATTCCAGTCAGCCCACACCTGCATGTTATTCAGCTCAGAGTAATAAAATCGATTTCCTGTTTGAAGTGCTCTCTTCTGTACAGCTTTCTAATACTGCCTTTTATACAGGAAGGGACATCGGTTATTTGGGTCAACATGCTAACATTTCTGCCTTTCCTGGCCAACATTCAGATAGCCTCTCAATGTGTGACGGCTCACAACCTATCACTCCACTCAAGTTGAGCTGTATTGCTGGGAAATAGGTCATCTTCATGGGAGCACAACTTCAAAAGCTGCTCTAAAAGAGGAGTTTAAAAGGCTTTTTGTCAAATGCTGCTACTGTGCATCTCCCATTAGGTGAAATCAAGTTTACTTTCTGATCATTTGCAG